GGACGGTATGTAGTTTGATGATCAAAACTTTCAACGTAAGATTTTTATAAGATTATAATTATTATATTTTCAACGCTTTATGCGGAAGGGTATATATGAGAAAGTTTAGGGATACTTAAAAAGCAGGTTACTGAACAGATATACATGTTGTGTCCCAAAGTCATTTTACTGTAAAACATTACTTTAACCAGTGTGCAATATGTTCTGCTGATTACCTGCTGAGAGGTTAATTGAAGAAATATATGTTTATTTCAGACACATAATTGATGTACTGTTACTCTTTATAGTGAGGTCTTGCATCTCATATAATTATATGCCAATTGATTGGAGATTAAGGATACTGCTAGATTGAGTACTACAGAACGCCGTCTGTGTTTTAGTTTGTTTGTTATAAATAGATTTTGTTATGGAATTAGGTCTCAGTAGCATATTTAAAAGTCTCTTTAGAAATTCATTGAGAGCATCTGAAAGGCATGTAGAGCTGGACATATGATGTAAGCACTTGCCAATTGTTGAACCCTTACGTATAAATCTGTTTCTTCAACAACAAAAAAACTTCCTGAAGAAACAAATGTTTTCTTGTTTAAGATTTTTATTAACAATTATAGCCTACTCTTTGTACATCTGAAATCAGACGTTGTTATTATTTTGACTGTAAATACAATATATGATAAAAAATATCCAGTAATCGAACAATATATTTTACAAAATATCCATTAATAACATTAACGGAAGGAATTTTAGTATTATTGAACAACGTTTAGTATGAAATGTTTATTAGATATTCATCATATAATATAAAATATTTTATAATCATACCAAAAAGTCATTCATAATTGTTAAAACAGATATTTGAAATATTCTCTTATTAAACATATCATAGAATGATTCATATAAGTTAATCATTGACAATACAATACCAATAAACATATAGTTTACTTTAATTATAAAGATTAATATTACATATTTTACTCAACTAAAACATGGTCTCTATTGTTCTAACTCGTACATATAGCGTTGATTTGTATTACTATTAATTTATTATAAACAGATTCATAAACGACGTTTTTTAAACAACGTGCATTCTTCCTTGACCCGAAATGATCAATTGAATCAAGGAAATTATTGATAACAGGTTTAGATGATTTACCATATTTTTCTCGTCCTTGTCCTTCACACGTGGTCATGCGAGTTCCAATAATACATTCATGTTCATGTCTGTAATATGCAGGAGGTACACAAAAACATTATTGTTAGCGTTCATAATATTATGAAGCTATTTTAGGTTAGTGTTCCTTAAGGCACAATCATATGAAAGTATAATTTGCTTTCCATACATTTCTGAATACTTTTGTATAAGTTCTGCACATTTGTGCCCTGGGATTGTATACGGCATGTAATGTGAAAACGGTCTCCGAATTCTTCGCCAAATTGATTCTCTATTTGTAGAAAAATGTGTGAAGATTTAACAAAAGAACCAATCTATTAAACTATACATAAGTATCTTGAATATTGACATTATATCGATCAGGAAAAAGTAACTGATCCCTTGTCTCTGTATTTACGTTTAATTTTTATTCCATTTCCCTGTAAAAAACGAAGGCAACGCATAGGCATATTAGGAAACAGATGCAACACGTCTCGCCCAAATCTCCCAAATGCTTTGGAAAATATGCTTTTGTTTGTATATTGAATCTTTCAATATTTGTCTCCATTGAGCGAAAATTATTGACCAGGCCCGTCTGTTAATTGATGCCTTATGTAGGAAACACAAAATGAGTCGTATTTTATATGGACATTAATGGTTTAAATTTGTTGTGCAATTACAATAAGATTTTTCTAGAGCGATGACAAATGGTTATTTGTTGTTTTGTAACAATACAAATAACGTTAGCACTATCTGTACCTACACATCCCATCATTGTGTTATTGTTTTATGATAATTGTTGTATTCTTGTCTTTCATTTTTGCTGTTGTGCTTTGTCTATATGCCTTTTTGTGTTTCTTTTATACATATGACGTGGCTCTGTACTTATACATCCCGTCATTGTGTAATTGTGCTATTGTAAAATTTTTGTATTCTTGTCTGTCATTTTTGCTAATGTGCTTTGTCTAATGCCTTTTTGTGTTTCGTTGATACATATGACGCGGCTCTGTGCTTACTCATCCCGTCATTGTGTTATTGTAAAATGGTAAACAAATGTTTTATTCTTGTCTTTAATTTTTGCTAATGTGCTTTGACTGTATGCATTTTTTGTGCTTCTTTGTTACATATTTGTTTGTTTTTGTAGTGATTAAGATTATAGCACAATGTTGACTGCTGTACCCCTATTTTTGACATTTTTACCTATTACGTCTGTTTTTTTGTTCCCTCATCGCTGTCAATATAATGGAATTTGATGCGACTGTCATACAAGTGAGAGGTTTAGTTATCTATAAAACTAGGTCTAATCCACATTTTTCTACATAAGAAAATGCCTGTACCAAGTCAGGAATATGACAGTTGTTATCCATTCGTTTGATGTGTTTGAGCTTTTGATTATGCCTTTTGATTAGGGACTTTCCGTTTTGAATTTTTCTCTGATTTCAGTATTTTTGTGATTTTACTTTTTGCAGTTTTGACACATAACATATGTATGGCTCAAAACATCACTTATTCATCAATTGGCTGTATCATATCATATCAAATTTTAGAACTATGAGATAAGGTAAAATAATTACATCATAGCATAAACAAAGATGCTTTTTTTAAAGGATATGACTGAGCTACATTTTCATGACACACAAAACACTCAGTAGTTACCATATATATACACATAGAATATAACTTTCAATCATTTATAGTTAAATGAACTCAATACTTTTCACATTACAAACATTCAATTTACACTTAACCGTATTTTAGACATTGTTATTGTTCTATTTGATCCATGGCTGATATTACTACCATCTTTATTTTAACCTATACTATTAAAGTTCATGAATGGTATCACTTTAATCAAACATAAACCGAAGTGCATCAAATAACAACACATTAATAATTCATTCTGGAAAATAAACTTTGTTAAAAAGGTGTGCACTGATTAATATTTGTCTAAAATACGTATTTTTTTATAGTAGTTATTGCCTGTAACTAGTTTTCAGTAACTGCGAGTATTCTCTGATCCGTAATTTCCAACTATTTTTTTTATGGTTTCCACATGAAAACAATCTCTTAAATACTATTAGTGCAACATTTATAACATGTCGAAGAACAAAGCCATCAGCAAAAAAAAAAAGACTGCCCATCAGATTCTGTCCGCAAAACATTACACAGAAACTAAAAATTGAGTACTATTATATTTATATCATAATAAGTAAAATCTATCATCTAAATCTCAGTTCTCAAGGTGCAGAAAATAAACAGGTGTCTTCTATTCCGTCCGCAATTATTGGGGAAAGTAAAATCTAAATTTAGAACCATGGTTGAAACTGAAACTACACTTGTATGATACAAATAGAAAATGTTGTTTTTCTTTATCAAATACCAATTTCAAAGGGATAGCGAAATTTATATTCTGTAGCTGTGCTTTTGTGTATCATTCAGAAGTAGTGAATACAATTTTGAAAGATAAGTTTTCTTCTCAAGTCTCAATTGAAGATTATGATAGAATAGAGTATACGAATATAAGGTAGGGGAAGAAAGGGAAGGAGTCAAAAAAATAAAGTAACAATGTAAAGGCCTTTTATAACCGACTGTACGGTATGAATTTTTTCACTGTTGAAGGCCGTATTGTTGCCTATAATAATTGCTTACATCCACTCCATTCAGTAAGGTAGCTGGGTAGTCTAAATGTTCGACGATGTATTATTCGTAATCTTCTGTAAAAGACTTGGTCAATGTTATTTCAATTTTCAATATAAAAACTGGGGATCATTTAATTTTATTTTCGGACAAATACACTGAAATGAACAAAATTTAGGGTATTTTGTTTTGCTGATATAGGAGAAACTTAAGTTTTCCTTACTGAGGAAATATTTAACGATATAATTCGCTAAAATTCGATGTCCAAATTGCCTTTCAATAATACTTTGAAATCTAAAAAAAAATAATAAGGGTCATGGGCCTTATTTTCTTGAAAAAATCCTAAAATATTAAAATACACTTTATGACACTTAATTTGTTGATAAATCAATCTTTGAATTTTAAGTTTTATGTATTTTCTTGTATTTTTGCAACATGACCAGAATGGACGCGGAAAAAACACCCGATCTACCTTAAACTGTTGCGGGTAGTTGTCTGATTTGCAATCATATCACATCTCTTTATTGTTTATATTATATATTATAATATATTAAAAAAAAAACAATTCATTTGCATTATATACAGGTAAAATGAAAAATATTGGTCAGTTTTTCCCCTCTAATGATAACACAGGCGGCAGTGCAGTAGATCAGGTCCAACACACACAACATCTCTTATCTACATGACCTATCCATAATTGAAGTGTGTTGATATTTGTTTACATTTTACAAAATGGAGTTTTATTCACTAACATGACTAATGTCTGTTCCAATAGAGGTGGACATTTGTTTCCAAAGGATGATTTAAAAAATGAAATTGACAATTTCAAGCAAAAGCAGTGTAGTTTGCTATGGCATTTTTTTCGTAAGTGATTATACATCAACAACATGTTTTGGTGATGAAAATTAAAAAGAAAAATTCAATAATTCATATTCAAAAACGATAATTAAATAAACTATCTTATATTTTACGATGTTGGTTAAGGACTTCCTGTTTGAAATATTTTTCATAAAAATAAGTTTAAGGTAGATCGGGTGTTTAAATTTTCGCGCCTTCTGCGCAACATGTTGCGCATAGTGTTGTAAACTGTCGTAAAATTTTATCAAAGTAATATTGTTACTTTTTTTTTTTTTATATCTGTGAAAATTATCAGAAACGCTTTTAAAATCGTATTTTATAAACTCAATTATCAAACAAATAATCTCATTTCAGTTTGATTGCTGCAAATTGTTTACTTCCGTCATGGCGACCTGCACAACATGATGAAGAATGGAAAAAAAAAGAAAAAGAAACTGTGATCGTGATAAAGTGGACTGCTTTTTATAAATACTGTGATGTAGATCTGTAAATTAACAATATGATCTTCGTCCTGGTAGCTTATGAAGCAATTCCACACAGATTCTGCACAAAAAGTAGACGACAGAAAAAATGGGAGGTAAACAAGTTATTTTTTTTTGTGTTGCTGCTTGCCGTAAGTACAATTTATATCGTATCGTCTGCAGTAATCTTACAAATGATGGCCGAAAGATCTCAATCAGGAAAATTCAAAAAAGCAAACACGTTCTCTAGGGCAAATAATTTTATTAACACCAACGTCAAAGACTCACTTTCAGACCCCCCTACTTCTTATCATAATGAAGACGCAGATTCTGAGATGCCTTCTGTACATGTAGAGGTTCATGTCAATCTTGACCACACATATACCTTACCGCTGGTACTAGACAATGACCCTTTGGCAATTTCTTCTGAGATTGAAGTCCGCACTGAAGACAGTAAAGGAGAAAACATTGAAAATGAACTATTATTTGATTACATCCCATCAGATCTTGTTCCATTAAGCCATTGCAGATTCATAGTCGATTTGGGTTTTATGGCCGAGCAGTTAAAACATTGTCAGTCTTGTCAGTCAACTCTTCATCTCTACAATGCATTAGGAGTTAAACCTTTAGGATTTTCAGGCTTGATGTATGTCCAATGTCCTGAATGTGGTACCGGTGGTGTGACAAAAATCAAGTTGGGGAAAACTCATCATAGTGGAAATAGTAAAAGAGGATGTGGAACTTTTGACATTAATACAAAAGCTGCAACAGGTGCACTTTTTATGTAGTTGTATTTACGAATAAAAACCTTTGTAGAATTTTTTTCAGTCTCAAAATATATATATAATACATGTACATGTACATGCAGAGCTCTGCAATACATGTACATTGTTGAAAAGTATAGGTAAACTATTTGTATTTGGGCAAAACGGATTGAAATGTTTGCAGAGCCTTGCATTTCCCAAGTTTCTAAGCCTCATACAAATGTTACCAATATTTTTTCAACACAGATGTATAGTAAATCAGTTATTCTCAGCCTTCACGCTTAACTTTTGAGTCAACAAGCCAGAAGCTCAATTTTTTGAAAATTTTAGTTGGTTTCTGTTGGCTTGTAGAGAAGAATTTTACAAGCCCAAAAGCAATTTTACAAGCCAATGCCGTAGGACTTGTGGTTAAGCGTGAAGACTGTATTCTACATGTACAGTGAAATTTTGATTTTAAAAATGTGCTCATGGATGTTTAAGGGTAGGAAATGACTTTAAAAATATTTCTCAATCAGCAAACTTTTTTCAAATACATTGTTGTAACTTAATCATGTTAATATACATCCTACCAATGTTTTATTATTAGAAATGTGAATGCATTTTTCTGTAATTCAGTCCTCCTTTCCTTCCCTCTCACATCCAGTTTAATTCACAAATAAGTAATATCCTTTGAATAAAGTCATGACATAAAGTATTGACTAGTTTTATATTTATTCATGTCAGATTATAATTGAAAATTAATATTCACTTAAAGTAGTAAATAAATTTTTAAATGCATGTCTTGCATGTTGCCTATGATACCAAATAAATTTCTAGATTTCTAAACATACACATGTATATTTTGAGTTTAATCTTTGTTAAATAAAATAGTGAGTCACAAATTGGTTTATTATGTTATGTATATACATGTAGTTGCAATCATTTACAAATCTATGAATTCTGTTGATTACATTTTAATTTTATAGGAATGCTCCATGCTGGTATTGGGGAAACCCAGCTTAACAATCTGCTTTCAACAATGAATGTACACTGTATAGACACTAAATCTTTGAAAGCCAGAGAACATGAAGTTGGCCAAGTATTGGAGAATCATGCAAAAGAATCTGAGCATAAATACTTACTAGAAGAAGCAATTGGGTGTTTAAATATTAACACAGGTTTGAAAAAAAACAAATTAGTATAATCATAATAATCATTTATTGGTCTTACAGTCTGTTTAGTTGTTTGTCTGACCAAAAAAGAAATTTGAAATTTTCTACTATACGTTCACCTAAAAACTCAAAATATTTCTGTCTGACATTTTGTCGGTCAGACAGAGTTTGGGTTTGTAACAACAAACATGCAAGGAACTATTTCTTCTGTTTAGCACCAAAATCAACAAAAAAATGTATGGAACAAATTCCTATTATATATTGACCTATATCACATATGTAGTATTCCCATTTTGCACTAGTGCAATATAACTTAAAAATTAATTGCATCTATTATCAACAACAAAACAAAAATAACTTTTATTTTATAAAGCTTGCGATGAAAAATTTTGTGCAAAATGAAATTCTTCTTTGGACAATATTCCGCAATAATCCTGCAAAACCACTATAATACATGTACCATTGATCTCTTTTGTAAAATTTCATAATTTAGTCCTTGTTTATTTTCCAGTTATGTACATAAGTGGTTATCATATGATTAACCACATCAAAATTTATATGGAAATTCTGTTCACTCTAAGTACCGTGATAAGTTAAAGGGGACATAATTGGGTATATGTTCAAATGTACAGATTGCACACAAGAACACAGTTTTAATAATACACCGAAGAATTAGTTTGAGATCAGTATACCTACACTCATTAAAAATTTGTGAAACTTTACCAGTAATACATATTTCAAGCATTAACATATTGATACAAATGTACAGGATAATTTTCAAATACAGTTATTAGTCAATTTACACAGATGCAATCTTTACTGTCATGGTAACAATTTGAATATATAAACATGATAGATGAAAGCTTTACTTTTATACAATAGAAAATGAAGAAGGAAAAGGAATCACAGTATCAACAGACACCTGCTGGCAAAAGAAGGGTTCTGGAAGGGCATATAACAGTTTGTCAGGCATGACTTTAACTGAGTTTAATCCAACAAGAACAAAGTTCAACAAATAATCAGATATTTTATTTTATTTTATTTTAAAAACTACTTTTCCGTTAAGGTAGTTCAGGGGTATAGAATAAAAATGACAGAATTTTCTTATACTTGGCCAAAATGAAGCTTTTACTATCCTTTTTACAAAAAATTGATAAAAAGTATGGGTCACCAAGGTACTAGTTGTTCAAAATTGACAAAATTTGCTTAGATTGTTCGTGAAAAAATGCATTTTTGTGCATACAAAGAAATCTATGAGACAGAATTTTGAAATAAAATATGAGAAGATAGGTTTTATAATATATTTTCAGAAAATAAAAAGAAAAAATGGTGTCACCGAACTTGTTTTTTTGCTACAAGTAAAAAATGAAAATTTCCCTATATGTCCAGTATAAATTTTGTAAAAAAGAGTTATTTCCCCTTTAATGGCTTATTTGAAAAATTAGTTCTATAAGCACAGTACATATATTTGGTATTTGTTAAAACATTTTTGATAATGTCAATAAATGGCAAATCTGTCTCCAAATTTGCAGATTTGGGCAAAGAACTAGACCGATTATTTACTGTGATTGTACAATTCAAGATGGTGGTATACTCCTGAACTTCCTTAAGCTAGAAATATTAGGTCACATGGTCCTATTTATTTTTTAATTTCACATACATACATCCTTAACATTACCATTCTTAACTGTCATACAAAGGTCTCTTTTAGATCTGATAATTTCTCTGCAAATATGTTTGTTAAACTGAATTTTCATGAAACCTTTATATGATAGAGGAGTTTGAAGATAAATTTTGGTTCTTAAATCCTTATAATGTATAATAATGACACTTGTTTCAATGCAAAGCATATTATGTAGATATGCACAAAGACAAAACATTTTTATTCAGATTATTGCCAGGGAAGATAATGTTGTGAAATATTTGAAAGGGGAGATAATTCAACTTAAAGGTTTTAACTGATTTTGAAGAAAAATATAAAGCTTGGACAATAAAAAACAGAATAGACCAGGAGGAGGGTGTATTCCTCTGTGAGCTTGTAATTATAGTTTGATCTAATGCAGATATTGCTTATCTCTAACAATATTACAATATGGGACATTCATGTCCTTTAAACTCAAAATTTTATTTAAGCTAGTTTAAATTGAAATAAATAATTTCAGGTGTATCAACATTGATTGGTAAAAATACAGGAGGAGTTGTCCATCATGCAATAAGATGTCAGCAATGCAGAATCTGTGACAGTGCAACAAAAAGGGGGATTCAGCCCAAAGAGCACAAATGTAAGAAAAATTGGACAGGCTCAGCAAAGGCTATGGAGCCAGATATGCTAGTTCAGATGGTAATGGATGTGAAGAACAAAGGGATCAACATAGATGAAATTGCAGGTGACGATGATACGACTGGATTCGACAGGCTGAAAAAGATATATCCTGAATCAAAGATGATTAAAACCAGTGACAGAAATCATGTAAAAAAGAATGTCATTAAAAAGTTATATGCAATTGAAAGCCAACATAAGCAGCTCTCTGACATGGTTATGAATTCTATATTGAAGAATTTTTCATTCATGATAGATCAAAATAAAGGAGATGTTGAAGGAATGGAAAATGGCCTAAAAGCTATAGTAGAGCACATGTATGGGGACCACGCCCATTGTAATAGATCATGGTGTGGATTTCTTAAAGACAGAGAAAAATATAAGCACAGTAATTTACCTCATGGAAAAGACTTGAGATCTGATTCATTACGGACAGACCTAGAGAAGATATTTTTGGGGAATGACTCAGTCAATCCAAGGAAACTTGCATCATTGTCAAGCTCACAAGCAAATGAAAACTTTAACAACATGCTTGCTGCAAAAGCTCCAAAAGCGAAGCACTACTCCTCATCAGCAAGCTTGGGCTACAGGGTAGATTCTTCTATCTTGCAAAAGAATGAAGGATATGCCTATGTTAGTGAGGTATAACTATATGCACCCTTCATTAGCTCTTTAAAAAATTTAAAAGATAGATGATCAATGTAAAATACAGTTATTTTAGCAGTTTTTGGCTTTTCATCTCAAACTACTGTAATTTAGAAATTATTGGGTGCATTTATTATTGTGATTTTTGAGAAATAAACAATAATGCAAGATTAATAACTGAGATTTATTGCAGTGACTCAGGATTTCTAGGTGACCAATTAATTTAAGCTTCTTGAAGCTTGTTGTTATAATTTTCATTCATTGGAAAAAACTCCAAACATTCAGTATGGAGATAATTATTTGTATGGTCTGAGAAAGAACATTTTTTTTATATTAGGTGGAAAAAATTTAGGGAGATAAATCAACAAATATATGCAAGATAAATCAACTTGATATTGAATGTTATATATACATCAGTTTCTACAACTTTTTTTATTTATAACTACATCTAAGTTTATATGCTATTTCTCTATTCATATCTGATTCAGTATGAAAATACACATTTCAAAACTTTGTCTTATTTTCTTTATTTCATATATATATATATCTTTGAAGGTTCATGCATCCATGGGACTGTCTCCTGGAGAGGAAACAATAAAAAGAAGCTCCAAAATAAATATGAAAAGGAAAAAAAACAAAGAAAAGGCAAAAACCAAAGAAGCCAAGAGAAGACGTTTCTTCTTAAAGCAGACAAGAACCTCTAAGACTGCTAGTAAAGAAATAAGGGAAGGCAAAACTTACGAAAGTGAAATAGGTATATATTAGTATTAAAAAGCCACCAATAATGTTTTCTGAAATGTAATATTTAAATAAATCTTACATAATGAAACATGTCATAACATCAAGGGCAGAATCAGGCAGGTGGTGAGGTGGGCTTGTGCCTCCCTAAAATTTGCAAAGAATGGCATGGGTTGTCAAAAGCTTAATTTCGATAATTTTACCTTAATAAATCTGTGCCCCCCCACCTCTACTTGTAATTTTTATTTAGTTTGCACCCCCCCCCCCCTTTGCCCTGAACCTAAAATATTTTATTTAGTAAGATTTATTTATACTGTCCCCCCTTTTGCCCTGAACCTTAAATATTTCATTTAGTAAGATTTAGTTATACTGTTATTATGAACTTTAAAATTATATTGGGACTTTCCTTATCTATAGATTTTATAATGTTAAAATAACCAATCTTCATATTTCAATATATATGCCTAGATACGATGAGATCTTCAGTTTCTGAAAAAAAATGACCACAACTATGCGAAACCAATACAAATGTTTTATACTATTTTATGTTATAAATAAATATTAAAAGAATGTTGTCTTGTGTGGGGAAAAAATTATGCATGTATGTAAATATTCCAGAGGCACTCCCACTTCTGGTTCTTCTTTGTGATTACTACAGTTTGTGAGAATTTGTTATTTAAACGTATTAAGTTAATCAAAATTGTTGTTTCAAGATTAAATTAGATATAAGGAGACGTGGTATGGGTGCCAATGATAAAAGAGGATTACACATTAGATACTTATTCTATACAGGGATACAAATCGGTGGTTTACATTATAGTATAATCGGATATGTGAATTATACAAGGTGCACAATGTACATGTTAATCCTTCAATAATTTATGATCAAATTATAGGATTCAAATCTGAAGTTACAGACAAGGAGTCCGAGGAGATTCCTGAAATACAAGACATCACAAAGATCCCTTTGAATGAACAAGAGGTTATCAAAGCACCAGTAGTAATTTTTGATTTAGAGACAACTGGCCTCAGTAAGTGTAAAATTAACGTCTAATGTTTTAATCTCAGTTTAATTTTGTTGTGAAAAATGAAAATTGAACTTTGACATGAATAATGTCTGCATGGTAAAAATAATCATAAAAATAACTAAGACGAAGAAGTAAAAAAAAGTCCACAAGTTAAAAAATTAAGTTTAAAAAAAAATGTTTTGCTCACAGTACACCAACAAACTAGAGGCTCTAAAGAGCCTGTGTCTCTCACCTTGGACTATGTGCATATTAAACAAAGGACACAGATGGATTCATGACAAAATTGTGTTTTGGTGATGTGTTTGTAGATCTTACTCCTTACTATTATCTCTATATATAATGAACTTGGCCCGGTAGTTACAGTGGAAAATATTTTTTTAAAATTTACAAAATTTATGAAAATTGTAAAAAATTGACTATAAAGGGCAATAACTCCTTAAGGGGCAATTGACAATTTTGGTCATGCTGACTTATTTGTAGATCTTACTTTGCTGTACATTATTGCTGTTTACAGTTTATCTCTATCTATAATAATATTCAAGATAATAACCAAAAGCTGCAAAATTTTCTTAAAATTACCAATTCAGGGGCAGCAACCCAACAACGTGTTGCCTGATTGGTCTGAAAATTTCAGGACGGATAGATCTTGGCCTAATGAACAATTTTATCCTCATCAGATTTGCTCTAAATGTTTTGGTTTCAGAGATATGAGCCAAAAACTGCATTTTACCCTATGTACTCTTTTTTAGCAATGTCAGCCATCTTGGTTTGCGGGCGGGGTCATCGGACACATTTTTTAAACTAGATACCCTAATGATGATTGTGGACAAGTTTGGTTAAATTTGTCTTAGTAGTTTCAGAGGAGAAGATTTTTGTAAAAGATTACAAAAATTTACGAAAAATGGTTAAAAATTGACAATAAAGGGCAATAACTCCTTAAGGGGTCAACTGACCATTTTGGTCATGCTGACTTATTTGTAGATCTTACTTTGCTGAACATTATTGCTGTTTACAGTTTATCTCTATCTATAATAATATTCAAGATAATAACCAAAAACAGCAAAATTTCCTTAAAATTACCAATTCAGGGGCAGCAACCCAACAACGGGTTGTCCGATTCATCTGAAAATTTCAGGGAAGATAGATCTTGACCTGATAAACAACTTTACCCAGTAAGATTTGCTCTAAATGCTTTGGTTTCAGAGATATAAGCCAAAATCTACATTTTACCCCTATGTTCTATTTTTAACTATGGCGGCCATCTTAGTTGGTTGGCCGGGTCACCGGACACATTTTTTAAACTAGATACCCCAATGATGATTGTGGCCAAGTTTGGTAAAATTTGGCCCAGTAGTTTAGAGGAGAAGATTTTTGTAAAAGTTAACGACGACGGACACCAAGTGATGAGAAAAGCTCACTTGGCCCTTTGGGCCAGGTGAGCTAAAAATTGTAATCAGCTCATAGCGACTTGTTTATTTTTAATACAACAGCAATGTTTGAATCACAAATTTGCACACGTTTAAATAGCAACTTTTTAAGTTTATTGTCTGATGTCAATTTGTTTGTCCAGAACAGATTTAGTGTCAAACATCTATCATTTTTTGTTGTTCAGTTGCTGTCTCTTTCATACATAGCCGATTTCCATTATATATTCATTATATCTTATATTCACCTTGACATGCGTGTGTCAATAATAATTGAATGCAAGATTTTGTGGCTTTATAAGTGTGTAAATGTGTATGTATGAAGCCAGATAAAAGTTGTTTTGATATTTCACTTATACTCCTTGTCATCAAAGATGCATTTTATTTATTGTTCTATTGTAGGTAGGAAATCTGACATTACCCAATTAGCAGCCTATTCAGAAACTCTGAATTTTAGCACTTACATTTTTCCATCCCAGGCAATATCCAAAGAAGCATCAGAGGTCACACAATTTTTTGTGAATGGTAATCAGATGTTTCACAACAGCACTGCAGTTCAATACAAGTTGGCCCATGAAGCATTGACGGACTTTATTATATTTTTATCAAGTTTTCCTAGTAAATGTATTCTTGTAGGTCACAACATCAAACGCTTTGATACTCATGTGTTATATAACCAATTGCATATTCATAACATGTGGAATGAATTTTGCTTACATGTTTGTGCTTTTTGTGACACCTTAGATTTATTTAAAAGTGTTGTTCCAGGTATGTCTTCATACAGCCAAACATCTCTTGTAAGAGAGCTCTTAGGTGAAACTTATGATGCTCATAATGCTATACATGACACCAAAGTTTTATACAAACTTGTAATTGAAAGAGGATATTTTAAAGATAATGTGGTAGAATTTTCATTACCTGTTAGTTATCCTTATGATTCACATGTTATCCAAGAAAACTTGAACACTTTTTCTCATGCTATAAATTGTAAAGCTATTTCAAAATCTTGTGCACTGAAGGCATCAAAATCTAACCTTAAATTGTCTCATTTGAAGTTAGCAGTACATCGAGATGGTATAGATGGACTTAAAGCTTTACTTGCTGAAAGGTCTAACAAGGGAAGTGTGAGAGTAACTAAATGTACAAGAGTTATTCAAAAACTGTTTGATTTTCTTCATGAAGATTGAAACAATATGCAATAATAAGGTCATGGAAAATTACCTTGTTCTCAAGTTCACTAAATGATACAGGGGGAAGGAATTTTTTTATGCTCCAATATCAAAAAGGGAAAGGGCCATTTAGATTTACCCTTGTCCGTCCATATGTCCTGGTATTGGTTAGTTTTTTACCTGCGTTGCAAAAAGCATCATTTATATTTATCCTTATACATTTGTATGTAATGATATTGGTTAAGTTTATACTGCTGGAGTTCAATATAATGTTTTCCTGGCTTTTATGACAGAGAATGCAAATGATTTTAATATTTGTTCTGGGAATGATTATTTATGCTATGGAATGCATATTACCTCAATCAATTGAATGGAAAGGCAGGTTCAGAGCCAGTATTGGTCTTGTTGTGTATATATGTCTGCTTCCTAGACATATACATGGTATATAGCAATGAATATAGGTTATTTGAGGGTCCATTTTACATCAAATAATTTTTCTTTTCATTCTTAAAAAGCTTTTCCAAATTAAAAAGAAATATTTTGAACATAAAGTTAACATTAGGAAGGGGCTGAGAACCAAGTAATAAATGTTATTTGGTTTAAATAAAAAGAGTAATGATGATGTAATTTTTAATGACTGTTTATAATATAAAAAAAAACTCTGCTTTGTATTTGTTGGAAAATGTCAAATATATCCTCATTTCCTGATGAGAAAATAAAAATTCATACATAGTACAAATTTGTTGCCAATTATTTCATTCGAGAAACACACAAAATGAGTGTGACATGTGTGATCGGATCAACAATATCGAATTCCTTCCACACCGGCTGCAGGATTCATATCCAAACTTATCCAGTGTACTATAGTCTGTAGCTGTTACTCAAGAAATTAACTGATCACAGAAAATTATAATTATTTTTCATTTCAAATCTTTCTATTCAATATGGATCTTAAGTCCCCCTTTTTGATGTTGTTAAAGGAATGATAAAGATTGTTCTGAATTCGTCTACTAATTGTATAAAAAACTGGATAAGTGCATTGTAAAACCTGGAATTACCCACAAATTGCACATACAAATGTCATTACACAGTCCGGAGTAAGATGGTTGTCTTCGGTTTTGACAATGCATCAACTTTTTCCCATAAAAGGACAAACCAAAAATTGTTTTTATGAAAATACAATACAAGTTCTAGCTTCACATGTAAAAATAAATGTGGATAGTGTCCACATGTGTACACAGATGATGCCCCCGCTTGCATATCATATAGTTATAAAGGGACATAACTGAAGAACGGTAAAAGTGACGCTACCCAAATTTGAACTTGATCTGAGTTTTGTGGTGGTAAGCATTGTGTGTAAGTCTCATAACATTTGGTTGAGGCTAACTAAAGTAGAGAACAGAAACTAAGAATTCAGTAATTTTTCTTCTTGTAAACACGCATAACTCTAGAACGGTTGTGTATAAGTTTTATAACATTTGGTTGAGACAAACTAAAGTTAGAGAATGGAAACTAAAATTCAGCAATTTTTATGTTTATAAAGGGACATAACTCAAGAATGGTAAAAGTTGCCATCAAATTTCGTACTTAATCTGTATTATGTAGTAATAAGCATTGTGTATAAGTTTCATAACATTTGGTTGAGGCAAACTAAAGTTAGAAAACGGAAACAAAAAATTTGTACTTCATCTTAGTTTTGTGGTAATGAATATTGTGTATAGGTTTCATAATGTTTGGTTGGGGCAAACTTAAGTTACAGAATGGAAACTAAAAATTTTGCAATCTTTCGATTTATAAAGGGGCATAACTCAATAATGATTAAAGTGACACTACCCAAATTCAACTTGATCTGTGTTTTATCAGTGGAAGTCAAAATTAAACATTGCATTGTATAAAGCATTGATTGTAGTTGATTCAACTATAATCATGGACAAAGGAAGATAACTCCAATTTTAATAAAATAACTTGATATTTAGAAGAAAATAAAAATTTTGCAATTTTTCCATTTCTAAAGGGGCATAACTCTAGAACGGTTTAAGTGACGCCACCAAAATTCAAACTTGATCTGTGTTTTGTGGTAATAAGCATTGTGTATAAGTTTCATAATATTTGGTTGAGGCAAACTTAAGTTAAAGATTGGAAACGAAAAATTCAGCATTTTTTCCATTTGTAAAGGGGCATAACTGTAGAACGGTAAAAGTGACGCCACCAAAATTCAAACTTGATCTATGTTTTGTAGTAATAAGCATTGTGTATAAGTTTCATAACATTTGGTTGAGGCAAACTAAAGTAAGAGAACGGAAACGATAAATTCAGCAATTTTCCATTTGTAAAGGGGCATAACTCTAGAACAGTAAAAGTGACGCCACCAAAATTCAAACTTGATCTGTGTTTTGTGGTAATAAGCATTGTGTATAAGTTTCATAACATTTGGTTGAGGCAAACTAAAGTTAGAGAACAGAAACCAATTTTGGGACGTACGTACGTACGTACGTACAGACGGACAAGGGTAAAACGTAATGCCCTCTCTGCTACGACGGGGGCATAAATATCAATCATTGACCTTTGGTTCAAAGGTCAAGTCACATTGTAGTCCTTATAGCACATGACCTACCCTCCTTTCATTTTACACGTACTTAACAAACTTCATATTAATCTGTATAACAATGAAAACAAAATTTTTGACATCCAATCAATCATGCATACTTGAAATATCAATTATTTAACCTTGAAGCCAAAGGTCAAGGCTAAATTGCTAGCTGTCATGATGGTATACAACAAGCTGTCCCATGGTTTTACAAAAACATACAATACATCATCCATTTATCTCAAAAGACAAAAATGTTACGGCTTGGACAATTAACTACAGGTTTATAATATAACACTTAGATAAGTTTCAATAATTTGACCTTGAGGTCAAAGGTCAAATGAAAAATGCGGTCTTTGTGGTACACAACTCGCCCTCTCAATATTAAACACTAACATACCAAATACCATTGATGTATCTAAAGAAACAAATTAAAATCTGAACAAGAAAAAAAGTAAATTTCCAAATTTATTCAATTTATGAATTTAAAGTTAACTCCCTTTTTTATCTATTTTCTTGTCTAAATTAACTCGTATCTTTCTTATATGGACGGTGACCTACCATTTTTTTTATTTTAACTTTTAAATTAATGTTTGGAGAATTCAATAACACAAAATAAGAAAATTCTATGGATTAGAAATGCAACTTTTTATTCAATAAATGTATCAATTAACGTTTTTTCCTTCATAGTCTATATGAAATTTGCGTCAAAATGTCCATTTTGCCTTAAATTTTCAAATCAAAATTTTGAGCTTGGAACACTGGTGACCCCACTTTTTTATTTGATAATTTCAAAGTATATATCACTAATAAGTTTCCCTTAAAAAATAAAAAAAATCTATGGATAAAAAATTAGACCCCCCATCTACCTTAAGCGTCTTTAATTTCAGCAATGAATTTTAATTTCTTTGAATATTAATATGTGATCTTAGATGTATAGAAAGGTCACATATGTGTTTTCCTGTTCAAACCATCTGTTATTGTACTTGAAAGTTATAGTCATGTTTTTGGCCCAATACTAACTCACTATTTTTGCAATGATAGCGGGATACGGATTCTGACAAAACATAAAGCATGATCCAGGGTCAGACAACCCCCTTAGAATGGTTCAAGCAAATATTTCTGAAAAAGTCATTTTATCCAGTAGAATTGAGAAATTCATGCAGCCTTGGACCAAACATAAGTTTAAACCCTTGTTTGATATTGGCAGTTTCTGTGTTATAATAACTAAAGGTGATCCAGAAAATGATTTACATTGAAGAAATGTTTGTTAACGTTGTGTACATATTTCCTCTGTTCTCAATTCCTTGAAAATGGAAAGCTGTTTTTATACGAAAGAGGACTGCACATGTTCGCAATGAGCTGTTGGGCCCATACCTGCAGCACAATCACACAATAATAACGAGATCTTTATTTATATGCAAACATCAATTTTGTAGATGATTTTTTTTTTCATCTTGACACTTTGATTTGACAAAAAATTAAGTCATTATTGGATTTCTGTTGCAAGTACTTAAAAAATATATTGTTGTATAATTGCTTCACTGAAGTACCCAGTATTTTCACCATTTGTTCAAGATATCTACCACTATTGACTAATTGATGTAAATGTGCAAAATCATTTTTCAAAATTCTTTATTTCTGTCATATGATTCTAATATTTGATTTACATTTTTAAAAAGTATTTTGTTGAAAAACAAACATCCAATTTTTCATTTAAGCTAGGTTTTGTTTTTTTAATATTTCATGATTCCAGTTATACATTTAATACATTTATGAAATGTATTGCAAGAATAACACATGATAAATTTGAATATGTTTGTAAATAAATTCATAAATGTATACATATTCCTTTTCTTTTTGTGTGTTTTTTGCTGTGCATATTCTTTGTTTTTCGATGTGTATCTAAATTCTCTTCCATATTGTTTAAATGATGAAAGACATAAATCCTAAAACATTTATATTGATGATTATTAATATATTGAATAATTATTAATATATCAAAACCCTACCCTTCAATCAACTCTCTTAATTTTCTTCCAGTGCACCTTTTGATTTTAACTGATTTTTAAGTTCAGGCAGTTTCCAAAACTTTTGACCAATTTGTATCATTAAAATATTTGATAGTGAATAAGATAAAAACTAAAACAAAACATTCTTTGTTAAGCCTTAATTATCAGAATATACATGTTTGTGTATCATATGTCAATGAATACATGCTGGCTTCCTTACAGAAACAGATGTTGTTTGACCTGATTTACCACAGCGCCATCTATACTTAAGTGGGGTTAAACCATTGACAGCCTATTCATAGACCGTGGATTCTTTCTTTAAAATCAACGCTTCCTAAATCCGTCACTGAAATGGACTAACCAAATTATATTCAATTGTTTCATTTGTGTTTGAATTGGCTAATTTACTGATTTCTGTTCACTAATGAAATTGATTTAAAAACTTAAGTTTATTTTTTGTAATTTCTATATCCCTTCACTGGTGATCGAACCCGTCCTTGAAATCTGTTATGTGTGATTGACATTAACATATCGGCGAAATATCTCGGCTACCAATGGGTTAAAAATTAAATGTTTATTTTATATATATGTAAGCCTCAGATCTGTGTACGGCCTCAAATCTGTGTCCGTTTCTCAAATCTGTGCCCAATCGTGACGTCAGTCGCTAATCTATGTCCGTTAAAAAAGATACGGACTCAAATCTGTGTCCTATTTTCAAATTTGTTTTCAATCGTTACGTCATTCGCAAATCTATGTCCGTTAAAAAAGATACGGCGTCAAATCTGTGTCCTTTCCTTAAATCTTTTTTCCAGTTTGTTTCGCCATGCGCAAATTTATGCACGTCTAATAAGTACGGCCTAATAGAGATTTCCAATAAAATGACATTACTCGACATAACCAACATATCTGAACGTATCTCTGCCTATTGCATTGAAGCATGACGGTGGGGAGCATAGACTGCATGGATATTCGGCTCGTTGAATACATACTTTGTTTGAAAAGATGCAATTAAAAAATTACTCCAATCTGCTATTTTAATTCTTTATATATTTTATTATTTAATTCGGGATAATTTTATTGACAACAACTTTTGAGGGAATAATTAATCCAGTTACCCGTAATCAAATGCACCGATCATTCCTTCGTCATTTCACCTAACCTATATATTCACATCTCAAAGGGTCTATTTTTAAAACGACTTAATCAAAATTGAGCTTGAAAAAATAAAAATAATTAAATCTGAAGTGAGATGATATTCTTAATTTGATTTATAAGTTATACGGTTTAATCAGGAGTTTCAAACACGACGGAATGTAAAAGGTGTACACGACTTACTTTTTTAAGCATACTTCTATTAAAAGTGCTAGAAAAAAAGAATTTCAAACAGGTTTGATTGATTGATTGATTGCTTGTATGGCATGAAGTGATAAAAAATGCATGCATATTTAGGACAAATAAAAAAAAAGAAAACAGTTCAATAATATAAAGACTGGGATAACATTATGAATTTCAACGCAACTAGTAAATGAGAGCATGTTAAAAAGGGGTAGACATTTAGTCTTGTAGCAGTCCCCCCTAGGCCTCTGGTTCCCTGTTTTTTTTTTTGTAACATGTATAGCTAATGATTGCTCTTTCCCTATATTTGATTGAACGTCCCCATTCAGACTGAGCGTAGCTGCGTATTTATATGTCTAAGACAAACACACGGACCACCATTTAAGCATGGGTTATACTGTTGAATAGGGTCTTGTATAGACTACATACTGGTACATCCAGCAACGCTAAACGAACCACTCATTCCCCAAAAGGGGATAGTTTATGCGACCTTAAGTTTGGTCACACACTGGCACAAAGATCTTGTCTGTGAAAAATCCAGATTTGTGGAATTTTATCATGAAATAATAATATATTTGCGCATTAAATCCATACATTTCAATGAAACTGCTGGTGAATTGTTAATTTCTCAGTATTCAGTTACAGACGGGTCCTGATCAAAACACTTTTTCTTATCGAAATCTTATAATCTATGTTTCTTACCTAACACATTCACTTCAATGATTTATGCAGAGAAACGAATTCGGTGACCACATATAAATTGTTTATCAATAGAAAAGATTAAATACTATGTACTTCAAGGGATATAAAATAGTTTGCCTGGAAATGTCTTTTTTATGAGGACTCGTATAGCATTCCCGTTAAACAAAACTGCACAGAACAATCCTTAATCTTTTAAAATACAACCTATACAGGGAGTTTTTTCTATACGTTTTATGATAAATAGAAAATACTTTTTTTTTTGAGAATATATGGAAGCGATATTCTGACAAACGCTGATTTTGACATTTCTGAAATTGTCAGAAAAAACATCTATCTAATAAATGTTTTCCACCAAAATATATAAATAAATAGATAGATAAAGAAAGTACATCGGATAACGAGAGAAAAAAAAAATAAGCGTGTAAAATATAGTATATTGGACCGTTCATCTGCAAAGTATATTGAAAAATAATTGTTATAATCAAAACCATGAAAGGTAAGGGATACTTGTGTTTATACGTGATCTTATGTCAGTGAAAATTAAAGCGGGAATCTAGGGAACCAAGTGATAAATAAAAATGCATGATTTTTCCAATTTTCCACCATGTTAAAATTATTTAATATAAACGAAAAATCCAGAATATGATTTTAACAGTCTTGAAATACTTTGTTTAAACTTGAGCGACGTATTTAATAAAGTTCAATGTTGGCAATAACCGGTCCCATTAGGTCCGTACGTCGAGTTACGTACGTTTGTCATTTTATTGGAAATCTCTTATAGGATTTTTGTTTTATTAGGTCTTTTCCCATAATTCAATGTTAAGTTGGGATGTGTTCTCCATGTGTTTGCTTAAAAATTTTACATGCGTGTATAATTATTGTATGATTTACACTGTATTGTAAATCTACAACATTTTCAAATTGTTTGCTTTTCTTGATCCCGTGTTTAATTGTTCTATAGTAATTATCGTTACTTCCCTTTACTCATTATGTCTTGATAACAAATACGAAATATATTAAGTTAATAAACAACCTGAAACAAAATGACATCTGTATACAAGCAACTTAAGATACATGTACGCCTTCAACAATGAATTAAACCTATTCTGTATCGTAAGTATAAACACATACACCTATTTACAAACGTTTTGTTCAATGTTTCGATGTATAGATACCACATAAAAATGATTAGGGTGTAATTTATTGTGTTTAACAACGACATTTGGTGCCACTATCCTATTAAAAAAGTTTTTGTTCTGGTGAAACTATTCCAGTTTCGAATCTATGTATCTTTTAAAAAATAAGTTATTTATGTCTATTTTGAAATAAAATCAAAAATGTGGTGCACACTTTAAAATAACCCTCTACGTTGTTCTTTGTCCAAACATTTCCTATGATTGCTATTTAAGTCTTGAGATTTCTTGTGTATCATTTAGATTCTTGGTCATAAAAGTAAAGCGACAAAAACATTTTTACCATTCTGTCCGAAAACGTCACCTTCAATTCGTCAACAATTTTCTTTGCTCCCCAGTTTTGTTGTTCTTCTTTGGCTTTAGCAATCTGTATAATATGAGGCATATCCGTTCAAAACACTTCTGAATTTGGATCCTTTGAAATACACTTTTTCCGCTTACTAGATATACCGTATCCCTCATTTGGAAATGTGTCCTGCTCCACCATCACTCCTTTTATGCAGTGACGTCATATATTTGATGACGTCTTGCTATGTCTTACGTCACCACATTTCGATAAAAGACATAGATTTCAGACAAAAATGGCCATAGATTTGAGTTAATAAAGGACATAGATTTGAAACAATACAGGACATAGATTTGAGACAATAAAAAACATAGATTTGAGATAATAAAGGACATAAATTTGGAACGTCTATGACGCAATAATAAAAAGGACATAGATTTGCGGAAAGGACATAGATTTGAGGCTGGACATAGATTTGAGGCTTACATATATAAATGAACATATGGTAAACATCGGTACAACTGACACACATGACCTGTACTTTATATATACATAATAGGCAAACGTAAAGTATAAGTTGGTAGCCGCGAAGTTAGCATGGTTAAGATCAATGAGTTAAACTTGTCGGTTTAGGTTCGAATCCCTGTATTCTCTTTGTTGTCTCTATTCTCTAGTGTTCTTGGGTTTTTTTTCTTGTTTTGTATGATATAATGGAAATTTCTGGAATAATAGTTTGACCGTTTATTTTTGGATTATTATTGGCTATTTCACATAATTATTTGAAACGAAAATGGTTACACTCTATTTGTCAATTTTTGTTTCATAAATATAGTGTGACTTCATCTGTTTTACTACATAATTTTTCAAATGTTTATTTGCAAATTCCTATGCGAGAAAATCGTGATGTGCCTAGAATTGAGCTTCTTGCTACATATTTCGGTAACATACTTTTTATATGTATCTTATATATTCTTTTTGGTCGGGTTGATGTCTCTCTGACACATTCCCTATTTCCATTCTCAATTTTATTAGAAATAAGCTTGAATATGTCTTATTTTTTTAAAAACAGATTATATTCAGATGCCGGATAATATAAAGATCTTAAAGGCAGACGTGTTATTTTGTATTGTTTTAACCATTTAATTGTGGTCTTAGATTTATAAATGCATCGTTGGACACGATAACATGGTTATTTAAACTCACTTACAATACCTTCTAATTAAGAGTAGGCTTACATTTTGAAAAGAAATTAACGCAATAGTTTAAGTTATAGATACAATGGATAAGCGTTGAGTCACGAAAAACAAACCATTCGCCCTCAAGGCTCATGGTTTCTTTTTCAAGAATCAACGCTTATCCATTGTATCTATATAACATAATCTTTACCAATGTTTCTCATTTGTATGGCACTATACACAAGGTAAACTCGTTTAGCATTACATTATGAACAGTAACCTTGCATTACATTAGGTACATTCTAATAGAATAACAATAGGTAAATGGATAAATACATTCGCATATCATCTCCCTTGGTACATACTCATAGCATTAAACCAGTACATTTATAGCATATCACTTTACACAAAGCTGTTTACACAACACTATACAATGCAATCTGTATAATATGAGGCATATCCGTTCAAAACACTTCTGAATTTGGATCCTTTGAAATACACTTTTTCCGCTTACTAGATATAGCGTATCCCTCATTTGGAATTGTGTCCTGCTCCACCATCACTCCTTTTATGCAGTGACGTCATATATTTGATGACGTCTTGCTATGTCTTACGTCACCACGTTTCGATAAAGGACATAGATTTCAGACAAAAATGGCCATAGATTTGAGTTAATAAAGGACATAGATTTAAGACAATACAGGACATAGATTTGAGACAATAAAAGACATAGATTTGAGACAATAAAGGACATAAATATGGAACGTCTATGACGCAATAATAAAAAGGACATAGATTTGCGGAAAGGACATAGATTTGAGGCTGGAAATAGATTTGAGGCTTACATATATAAATGAACATATGGTAAACATCGGTACAACTGACACACATGACCTGTACTTTATATATACATAATAGGCAAACGTAAAGTATAAGTTCGTAGCCGCGAAGTTAGCATGGTTAAGATCAATGAGTTAAACTTGTCGGTTTAGGTTCGAATCCCTGTATTCTCTTTGTTGTCTCTATTCTCTAGTGTTCTTGGGTTTTTTTTTCTTGTTTTGTATGATATAATGAAAATTTCTGGAATAATAGTTTGACCGTTTATTTTTGGATTATTATTGGCTATTTCACGTAATTATTTGAAACGAAAATGGTTAAACTCTATTTGTCAATTTTTGTTTCATAAATATAGTATGACTTCATCTGTTTTACTACATTATTTTTCAAATGTTTATTTGCAAATTCCTATGCGAGAAAATCGTGATGTGCCTAGAATTGTGCTTCTTGCTACACATTTCGGTAACATACTTTTTATATGTATCTTATATATTCTTTTTGGTCGGGTTGATGTCTCTCTGACACATTCCCTATTTCCATTCTCAATTTTATTAGAAATAAGCTTGAATATGTCTTATTTTTTAAAAACAGATTATATTCAGATGCCGGATAATATAAAGATCTTAAAGGCAGACGTGTTATTTTGTATTGTTTTAACCATTTAATTGTGGTCTTAGATTTATAAATGCATCGTTGGACACTATAACATGGTTATTTAAACTCACTCTTACAATACCTTCTAATTAAGAGTAGGCTTACATTTTGAAAAGAAATTAACGCAAAAGTTTAAGTTATAGATACAATGGATAAGCGTTAAGTCACGAAAAACAAACAATTCGCCCTCAAGGCTCATGGTTTCTTTTTCAAGAATCAACGCTTATCCATTGCATCTATATAACATAATCTTTACCAATGTTTTTCATTTGTATGGCACTATACACAAGGTAAACTCGTTTAGCATTACTTTATGAACAGTAACCTTGCATTACATTAGGTACATTCTAATAGAATAACAATAGGTAAATGGATAAATACATTCGCATATCATCTCCCTTGGTACATACTCATAGCATTAAACCAGTACATTTATAGCATATCACTTTACACAAAGCTGTTTACACAACACTATACAATGCTAGATCATTACAATATACATTTGCTAAGGCATAACGCTGGGAATGATCTGTGCTACGAGAAGTTTATCAAAAACTCCTATCTGTGTTATTTTGCTGAAATTCATTTGCGGGTTTTAGCTTCTTTTGATCTTTTTGCAGCCAGAAAAAAATCTCAAGATAATATACAGATGCTGTTTTTTTTTTTAATTTCTTGGGGAATGTACATGTGGAGTTGTGTCACGTGCCCGTGTGTGAACCTGACAAATAGCATGTGTTTTGTACGCAATATCCCGTATAGCACAGGAAATATTGAAGATGAAAAGATGCAGAAAATTATATTTAATAATATAATAGCACTCCGGCTACCTCCACCAACAATCAAACATATCCGTTGAAGTCAGCAGAAGCTCCAAAATGTAAGCTTATCGTGATTCGTAAGTAACACCTATTATATTGATAATTTGTAAGAGCTTGTAAAAACAAAGAATTTGACAAACCGGGTTATACTAACCACCAAGTTTATACTCATATGAGCAACATGACGGGTGCAACATGTAGAGCAGGGTCTGCTTACTCTTCCGGGGAACTTTAGATTACAACTGATTTTTGGTTTAATTCGTGTTGCACCGTCTTTGGTTTTCAATTTTGTTTTGTAAACTGTTAGTTTTTTTTTTTTTTTTTTTTTATTTTTTTATTAACCATGGGACTGTCAGTAAAATTTCGAATTTGAATGTCCGGTAGGTATCTTTCCGTCTCTCGATTGTAACATTAACAACTGTTTTATGTTGAAAACGTAAAATGGTTAAGAAAACATATCAAATGATATTTGCCATTTAGATATGATCACGGAATTAACTCGTGATGGTGATCATTAAACTTATATAAAATCCCTAACCGAGGACAAACATATCACTGACGGAGTAAATTTTGAGATAGCATATGTAGTCTCTTCCAAATGTAGTTGAACAACATTATGCCATGGACGGATTTATATTAACATGCAACAAACATTAGTCTAAATATCATAAGAAATGTAGAACATATTTTATTATAGATTCTTTTATGTTGTGGGGAAACTTTTTTAACGTTACTATTAATTATATTTTGTTTTGTTCTATATTTTCTAATAGAGCTCAGAGTGATAATAATGTTTTGTTAATTCATTGAATAGTTAACTTAAGGACATGCAATCAGTAAATGTTACGAAAACAAGGTTTTTTTTCATCAGAATTATCTCCGCAGTCATCATTTCCGTTACAGAACTGATTGATGTAAACACAGTTACCATTATCACAGGAACGTTGTCTCCACCCACAATACCTGGCTGTAATAAAGAGAAAAACATTATTACGACAGAACAATACTGTAATTATCCGCAATATTGTTAAAGTAAAAAACGAAATATCAATTAAGATAAAATCAACATGTATTCAAAGATTTAAAAAATCAAATTGCAATACATTTTAGAGCATTTTTTCGCATTTTTTCAATAGGCGTTACGTGAACACACTTTGAGCAGACTTTTACAATCTATTAGAACAATTGTAATGCTTATAGTTCAGAAATGCAAATCATAAAAAGGGGACATTTCATAACAAATAAAAGCATTTGACTATATTAATCAACAAAACGATTGGAAAACAACTAGAATATTCTTAATATATTCCTAACCTGGAACAGACCTTTGAGGAAGAGAATGGTAGCAACAATCTAGTTTTACGGCTAGCAAAACTTCTCATTTATATTGAAGTCGTATTCGATCCGTTATTGTTATAAGATGGACGAAAAGGGGGCGGGGAAAGTTATAAATGACCATTATGAAGATGAACATGCATAAATGGTCA